CCAATGTGACCACCGCTTGACTCAGTGTGGATACAGCGCTTGTCTCCTTCCCCTGGGCTCAGTGTATGTCACGCTGTTCACCACTCATCAAGGCCCCCTGAGGCAGGGACTCGCCATTTGTCATGGATACATTGAGGCTCCCTGAACTGGGCACCCACTGTGAAAGTACATGAGCTATTGTAGAATAAATAAATTTTAATTAATTTCTCTCACACCTTGTTGCTACAAATATTGCTATAAATCTGATAATTGATGGCAAAACAAGTAGTGAAATATTCACATAAACTTACTCAAGAACAATCAAATATCTAAGACATTTCATTTTTTTTTTCTCCAAACAACAAAGTAGGCATGATTTACAGGTACATAAATATAAATGTTAAGAATTCTGCCCTTCACCTTTATGTTTCAGAATCAGATTTTTCTAATTATTTTTCATCAAAATAATGAATATAGGGGCCGGGGAGATGGTTCAGTAGAATAAGCGCTTGCCTGGCAAGCGTAAGGGCCTGAGTTCAATTCCCGGTTCCTCAAAAAAAGAAAAAATAATGAATATAAATAAACAATGCGGAACTAGATGCACACTTAACTGTCAGTCAGGTCTGATTCTAGGACTCCTTGTCACAGTTTGCAATCTCACTTTTCATGTTAAACTTGCAAATGCATTAAGGATATTTATTTCTATCGGAATAAAATGTGATTTCTATTACAGATTACATACTTTTTCTTTTAGCACAGACTTGCTTACTTTCCGCTCCTGGATGGAAAATTACCTTGTGATTTTTCAAGGAATTATCTTGTGGTTTTGCATGAGGCTGTTCCTTTCAAAATTTAAAGATATTGCTAAAACACTAACCTTTTGCAATGAGGGCAATTGTATTTGGAAAAAAACGATGAAAACATTTATATACAAAACAGTACCAATTTTGAATGCTGACGAGAACAATGCCTATAAAGAAACACTACTGTATCGAGAATATAGAATTCCAGTAAGATTCCCAACAATCCTTACAACTCCCAAGCAGCATGTGTGAAATAATGTTTGCAGTAAATATTTCTGCTACTCAAAAGCTAAATTAGGAGAAAAAGCTATTAGTACAAAGGATTACTACAGGGGACATGAGACAACTTTGCAAACCTAAACCGACTGGTGTCCAGTTTCTGCTGCCATTCACCCAGTCTATACACAATGAAACAAGCCTGCTAGTGATTGTTGCAAGTGGCAGGGAGGCGGGAAAGGAAGGAGCAGAGGAAAGAGGCCTGAGATGACCAGGACCAATCAAACTCCGCTTAGGAAAAGTCCAGGTGCACATCAGGAAAACATGTCCTAAGATATTTACTCATAGTGAGAAAAATAACATAAGAGCTGGGGGAACGTTGTAAAGGCTATAAATAAGAGGCCAACAATGTGCACTCTGCAAAGAGCTACATCAGCAACATGGACAATGGCCACCATTCATGCCTCAGCTCCCTAAGAACTTGTTCACTTATTTTTCTTCTTTTATTTATTTTCTCCTTTTTGTCTTTTTGAGATAGGGTCTCAAGGCTAGTCTTGAGCTTATTTTGTAGCCCAGGCTGGTCTTCAACTCATAACAATCCTCCTGCCTCAACCTCCCGAGTGCTGGGATTGTAGGCATGCACTACCATGCCTGGCCTCATTTATTTATTTATTTTTAAATCAAGAAAGGATGATCAAAATGAAGTACAATTTCTCTCATACAAAAATATCCTGACTGGGCCGGGGAGATAGTTCAGTAGAAAAGCGCTTGCCTGGCAAGTGCAGAATCCTGAGTTTAATCCCCAGTACCGCAAAAAAAAAAAAATTACCCTGACCATATGATCCTCAGTAAGAGATTGCTTGAATGGTGTCAAAATGAAAAATTAAAACATTATCTTACTGAAAACTACTAAAATCGATCTTTTAAAAAACCTCTATTGGGGCTGGGTAGATAGCTCAGTAGAATAAGTGCTTGCCTGGAAAGCGCAAGGGCCTAAGTTCAAACCCTGGTTCCGCCAAAAAAAAAAAACAAAAAACAAAAACAAAAACCTCTATCATTGCGTAAAGCGCCTGAAATAGCAGAGAAAGACTTTTATACTAAAATATTTCAATGGTTGTCTAAAATGCTTTAATACAAAGTAGATGGAAAATCTTTACAGTTTTTATTTTATTCTCATTCTTCTTACTAAATGTATGTTAACAAAAAAAACCCTCAAATAATCTAGACAAAAGCTTTTAGCTCAACACATAATTGCAAGAAAATTACAATAATTGTACCAATTAAAATAATCTTGAATGAACAGTATGTCATCTTAATGTTCCAACGGTTTATAGAGGGATCTACTTAATTAGCTGAAATTGCTTTCCAGTGTTAGTATCAAATGTCATTTGTTAAAAGTTGAACAATTTAGAAAATAATTTAACAAAGCAATTTTACCAAACACCGAGAACCAACATTTTCTTTCTCAGCTGAATAAAGGAAGCAGATGTGTCATCAAATTACTATAAAAATAAATGAAGCCTTTTATGGATTAGAAAAATAAATTTCACTACTAGCGTTAAAAATACTATTTTCTGATTGTTTTTACCAAATCAGATTTCTTTAATAAAATAAATGAATATCAATTATATACTGCTGCTCTTTGTCAGCTGTAAATAAAATGTTTTATTATTCAAATGGCAACCATCAAATAACTCAACTATGGCTAACTAGAAACCGTCCTCTAAATCAGTCTAACATCTGCCAATAGACGGTTTTCAGTATGCTGACCAAATGGTCTTCCTGTACCTTTCCTTTCTAACTCCTCTTCGGCTATCTACTTCAGGTCAGCTCTTCATGAATTTGCAAACACTACTTTCTACACTGTCGTTTCCTCCTCCTTGGTCTGGCTACAAATATTCTTTGTAAATGCTTGTAGTCATATAAGTT